TTTATATGTATATGTTTATATACATGTGTACGTTTGTGTGTGTGTGTATGTTTCGCTTTTCGTTTACTAATTTGTATGTATCTTGTTATATATATTCCGTACAAGTTGCTAAACATTCTGTTCATGTTCGCATTCACATACAACATGTTCATGTGGAATACATGCGACCATTATACTGTGCGGTTCACTGTCAGCCTTCTAAAAAAAAGGGTTTCTGAACACTTGAAGTTAAGGTATTCAATACATTCCTCTAACATGTAGTACAACATGCGATTACGATTCTCACAGCTCATCGTTGGCTGAGTTCGTCCACGAATACAGTTGCCACCTCATATACATTCTATATATAGCGCATTCCGTGCAATTATCTCTTGTTTCCTTTGACTTGCACGAGTGAGAAATATCACCTTACGCAAAACTCCATCTGCCAGTACCTAAATGTACACAGGTCGACTAAATTCGCTAAGACTATCCAATATGTACCGATGCCACTCCTTTTCTTTGACCTTAAATTATATTTGGGCTATATCGATTCGCAGTTGGAAATTGTAACATGCAAACCGAATTCACGTGAATTAAAATACACATTTGGCATCAGTGAACACCAACTTGGACTGTGACCTTATAGTAATTATCCAGAACGATACCAGAAACTCTATTTGGAATGTAAGAACTTATCATCCTGCATGACCATATCGTCGGCCTTTCACTTTCACTCCAATTTTATCTCCACAGCCAGTATCATTCCAGAAATGCAGGCCATTGATCACTCCACCGTTGTGCAATTATTGTAGAGTGCTATTTTTCTTCTATGTCATCCGCACCTAATATTGGTGGGACCATGTGCGCAGTCATTTGGATAATTCGTCACGCGCCCGTATTGGTACAGTGCCTCGATTTAGCTATACTGAGGCGCTCGACTGAGATTACTTCGTTCATTTAAGGCACTTTGAGCAATCACCCATCAGCAAGCGGCGTAATCAGGCTAACATCACTTGCCTGAATACTCAACTGTGTATATAATCAGCACAATGAATAGGTACATACCTGTCTATACAAGACGATACTTTGCCCTTCGAAGAGTACTCTGTTGATGGTGAAAGCGCAACAACACTACAGCACCTTCTCGTTGACGCTCATCCAACGCCTTCTAAATTTATGTTGTATTTTACTTTGTTCGCGCAAACTACAGACGCAAGGCAGATTCGAATATTTCCAGTCTAATAGTTCCCATACACGCCCGGTGGATTGATCTTAAAACGATTACGCGAAGCCTTTGCGCGTTTCAACACTTCGTCACGAAGCTTGGACGACGTCTCGCACCGTAGAACAAAGCTCCGAGGTTCCTCCTTGAACACCATCTCAATGTAGGCTTCATCGTCCTGTTGCTTGTTCTCCACTGGATAAAGGGGGTCTACTTTTCGGCGATGTATGCTGACAATCTCATTGTACTCGAGATCTTGATCGCACAGACAATTCGAGCGCTCGCCAGCGCGGTCATGGCAAAAACAGTCGCAGAACGGATGTATCAGATCCTCAGGACAATCATGGATCTCTTCGTAGTGTAAAGACATAAACGTGTAGTACAACTTTAGTACCATACGAGTCTTATTATAATCCGGGCTTACCAGCCTATACTCGTCTGCGGTTTGCTTGTACGCTGTAACCGGCGAATTCACCGGCCTGACCGCTTCGCCCTGCCAACAGTGGAACTCCACATAGTTGCGCATCTCCAATTCCTCGGCTGTTTTGAGCCCATCTTTCGCACCCGAACCACGGGGTGACGCGGAAGTGTCCTTAGTTCCAAGGCTAAACTTAGCCAACCAATTGACCGCACTATCTAACAAGCTATCCATAGTCCCAGACGACTGCCTCCGCTCCGGTTCCCCAGCATTAGCGGCACGCTTGTAGTTGTTCACACGTGGGGGGTTGATGTTATTGTTACGCTCGTGCCCGCTTCGCCCTATCTCTGCTGGTTTAGACCCAGTACTGCGTTCAGGGTACTTTATATTGTTTTGATTGTCAAACTGTACGCGTATCTCCTTTGCCAATTGCCTTGAGGCTTCGTTGCGACGTGCGCTTTTCAATCGTGGTGTGTCTTTCGATATACCCGGGGCACTGCTTGTGGGATCGGCGTCTGTGTCACTGTTGGCCCCTGATGTGGTGATGCTGATAGTCGTATCACTAAGCTTGGGTTTCTCAGGTAAACAGGGGTCTAACAAGTCTCTATCTACTACACTGGGACTTGCTTCAGAAGGCTCCGTCACACTCAAACTTGGGGTATTTCCGTTAAAAGTCTCATTTGTACCGACAACCACCTTTTCTGCCACTACACCCGTCATGCTTAACAGGTAACGATATACGAGTCAACTTGTATAATCTGAAGAGCACCAATAATACTTTATTCTATCTCATAAAAATACTACTTTGCTACTACTACAAATACTTATAGTAATATGCTACAGAGACGCCCGGAATAGCATGTGGTATTATGATACTCAGCATCCAAAATGGGAGCCACGGTTGGAAGCAATTTTAACCATAACATAGTTTTCTATCTCTCTTTATCTTGCTGCTGTAGATTCTATAGATGTAAAATATAGAATTTCGATTTTTGTCCTGTGTGTGTCTCGGACTAAATATTGACACAATAATCAAGGTGGACAAATTTTACAGGAATTTGTTACTCTAATAGCAAGTATGAAGTCGCATATAGTTGTACAGATTATCGAGTTGTGGTCTGTTAACATTTGGACAAAATTCGAGGTGGATTCAAATAAAGTTAGACAAATGTCGAGCTTCTACTATAATTATCATAATTTTTCGATGGATTTGTCACCAAATTTAGTCATTTAGTACACAGGCGGGAAACAGAAACTTTCCCTGATTCCCAGAATCCCACAAATCTACAATCCCGATTCCCAAATCCCACATGTTGCCGAACAAATCTAATCTTGTGCTTTCTATTTTTGGATGCCTTTCCAAAAGTGGGGCGAGGACGCGAGGACTCCGAGGCCCAAGCCTCCATCCTCGAGCTCACGGCGTCGCGCCCAGTCCCCAGAGCCCACTCACTCAAAAGTCTATTTAATATTATTTTTTTAATAAATAGAGGGCCCAAGCCCCAAGGCCCCAGGCCCCAGGCCCCAGGCCACAGTGTGACCCAGACTGAAGGCAGAGGCTCCTCGAGTGGGGGGGGGATTACTCTTTTGTCTTTTTTTAATAAAAACAATAAAATATACAGTGACCTTTTATAGTTGATAGTTCACGTCTTCACTTTGAGACATCTACCCTCTTTGGCGTTCATATGGCCGTGTTCTACTTTCCACTCAAATCGCTTACTGAAGAAGACGTCAGGCGACACATGAATCCCCCCGAGATTGGCGGTTTCCAACCAGATGTCGTGTGGGGAGATTTCAACTTCAAAGCCCGGAAGTATGGCCACGCATCTACAAATCACGGACTACGTATGAAAACGATTGAGACTACTCTGCGTAAGACGTGGCACTTGGACTACCTCTATGCTGGCGGCTCATCTGGTACTGAACATGCGTATCATCGACCTACCACCCCCGCCTCCCTCCAAACCTATAAGCTGACGGACTACGGTATCTGTGGTGACCACACCTTTGACTCGATCTCCAGATACTTCCCACGAATCAAATCCATCGGCCCCCAACAAATGCCAGCAATGCCGTCGCCTCCGGACCAACGCCTCCCCTCCCATGGATATAACCGATATCGCCATCGACTGTATCACCTACGCAACAAATCCCGCGCGCGACTATTCCAAGCCGAAATCCGGGCGCATCAGAACCTACTACGGTCGTATCTCACTTTACATGGACCAGCGGAAGGGCTGCTACGAATCCTCAACCGCATCTGGTGCTATACCACTAACCCACAAATCTTTGGAGGGTTATATTGTGACTTAAACAGACCTTGGGTTCAGCGGCTGCCAAACCACTCGTTCCGCCCACGTCTGACCGACCAAAGCAATGCTCGAATGTTCAAAGATATTGCGTACCAACGACGGTCTCCGCGCCAACCCTGCATACCGGGTACCGATGACACAGGCGTTACCCTCGCTGGCTACTTTGAGGCCCTATTCAACTCTACAAACCCGTACGTGGTTCCAATGGATACCGAACCCTCTCCTGATGTCCCTTCCACCATACGCCCCGACGATGTAATGGAGGCAATACTACGCTATCCCAATAAGGGACCTGGCCCCGACGGGATCCACATCCTTCTTCTGAAGGCCGCAGTGGAGCGCTCTACCGAACGCCTGACATTAGGACGCCCCGACGCCAATAGCCCACTGATTAGATTCCTTGCCGAAGCATTCACTCAGCTACTGAAGGCAGATACCTTCCCCGCAGCCCTGAACTGCAGCCTCCTGACAGCGCACCCAAAGAAAGCCGATCCAGATATCACCTCCCCCGCCAACTTCCGCCCCATCACGCTTCCGCAAATAGTCAGACGCATCTTTGAAAAGTGCTTTATTAATCTGATTACGAGCCACCCCGGCTCTGCTACCCATGCTACCCAAGCTGGCTTCAAATCACGGTACTCCTGTCATACCCAAGCACTTGCCGCCATGGAATCTGAGACACAGTCGGAAGAGGAGTGGAACAACGACCGTCTGGACAATACCACAGCATACGACAAGGTTGCTCTCCCGCGCCTGTGGGTACTTCTGCGCCACGCTCAGAAGAGGAGTGGAACAACGACAGTCTGGACAATACCACGGCATACGACAAGGTTGCTCTCTCGCGCCTGTGGGTACTTCTGCGCCACGCTGGAATGCTCAAAAGCTGGATCAACTGCCTCCTCGTGCTATTTGAGAGGGTCCCTACCGAGTGACATACCGCGGCACGCTCTCGCCTCTATTCCATAGAACGAATGGCATCCTACAAAGCTCGATCATTATTTACATGGATTCCTTAGCTGTCACGCTAGCTCGATTTCGGCCCAAGCTCCTCCGCCCTTATTTATTTGTCGATGACACATGGATCCAAGCCCCTCGATCGGTTTCGCTCCAGCCCTTCTTAGATGACATTGATGCGTGGGGACGCAAATCTGGCCTCGAACAGGGTGTCATTAAACCCCGAGTACGATCTACCGACTTGCGACACGCGGCGCCAACCCTCCGTATAAATGGTGAACATATCACGCTGACGCTTGCAGACGCACCTTGGAACCCACGTTACCTCCCCCTGAAACTGGCACCCACACATGCCGAACCGAAACACTTCAAATACCTGGGGTTCCCACTCTCTCACGGAGTACCAGGAATCAACCTCACTAGACATATGGAATCCCTGGTTGCAGTATTGACCCCGGGTATCGCCTCCATCCGCGCTTATGGCTTCCATGGCTTCAGCTGGCGACACCCCCGCAACCGACTGGTGCTGTTGTAAACATTCATCCTATCCACGGCTACATATGGCCTGAACATTGTTGCCTGGGCTCCGCCTATATGGAAGGATACGCTGGGCCCCCTGTTTGAGCGCTATAACTCAACACGCATCCAAGCAGCAGCCATCATCACGGGCACTAAATACCCTCGGTTTCCCAAACATCAAACAAACTTACTTCACTTTTGCGACCTGCTCCCCGCGCGACCATTCGCGGACTACCTCGGAGGTTGCCTGGGAATACAACTCGACTCAATGGCCAGCACAAATCCACTTACCCTCTGACGCAACCCACCTGGGCCCACGAAAAACCATCACTGCGCTTCCCGTACAGTATCTATGCTCACCTGAAAACTGTACACAAAACCACGGGCGGGCGTACACCCGACCATGTAGCCCTCTGCCAACGCTGTGACGACATCAGGAAGAACTCAACAAAACGTTGGTTCAACAAGGAGATCGCGGCAATGGCCCGGCGCCAATACTACTACCAACTGGTTATGAGTAAACCGCCAACCTCAAACCGAGACACAGCCAGACACGACAGCTCCAATCGCTGCTTCGAGTCTACACCAATCCGGCTCTGTGCTATGATTGTAACGAATACGTACATGTTCACATTGCTTGACTACCGTACCGACGGCTGTCTCTGCCCTGTCTGCCCCGGTAGCCACAAGTTCACTACCAGCCACTTTACCTGCATCCAACAACTGATTCGACGCATCCTGGTAGGCCCGAAACTGCCGCCCATTGGCGCTGACCTCCTTCAGCAATTACAGGAGTGCCACGACTTCCACGGTATCTGGACCCTCCACGAACGCCTTGGATCTTTTCTCCAGCATGTTGAAGAAGCACTGTACCCTCACCCATTCCTGGCACATCAACAGATGTTCCCTATACCCCTGCTAATCACGCTGTTGAAGTACTACTTCCAAATATCGGTTCAAACCAAATCATTGCGCTTGTTGGTTCCGACTATGGTAC